CCCCAACTTTAACCCAGATTTTCCTGGGTTAAAAAGTCATCTTATACGTCGGAAAATATGGTAAGTCATAGGTACAATAATGCAGCTCCCCAATCAGAGTGAATATATATAAAGAAGGCCTTGGAGAAGAGAGAAGGAATCTGAAGGAGCTACTTTAGAATTTGTTTCATTCTGAAAAGTCATACAACAGAAGGGTCTGTAAAGGAACCTTTATAATTATTGATCAATATAAAACACATCTTAAAAATCTACATTTAGAAACATAGAATCATAGCCTTGGAAGGTACCACAACGGCCATCTAATGCAACCCTCTGACATGTAGGAAAACACAACTAAAGCAGTCAGGGGGGGGAGATCTTCAAAGAAGGAGATCCACTACGTTCCGAGGTTGTCTATTTCACAGTCAGATAGTTCTTAAAGTAAAGACATTCTTCTTAATGTTTAGGTTGAATCTCTTCTTTTGTAATTTGAATGAACTGTGTTCCAGTTTCTGGAGCAGCAGAAAACAAGCTTGCTCTATCTTTTATATGGCATCCTTTCAGATGAACATGGCTAGCATGTCACTTCTCAGTCTCTTATTCTCCAAGCTAAACATACCCAGCTCCCTAAGTCATTCCTCATAAGGAATGCCTACTAGACATTTGATCACCTTGATTGCCTTCTTCTGGACACATTCCAACATGCTTATATCCTTCTTGAACTGTGGTGCCCAGAACTGGGCACTTCCAGGCTCTGAAGTATTCAAGAAAGAAAGAAACAGTTGTAGCCAATGGACATAAATACTGTGCTGATTCCTGGCACATTAGAGGAACAAAGGCCATTTCCACACATCATACAGCCTGAGAGCATTGGTTTAGATAACAGCTACAAAGATGGTGAGAAGTCATGAAAAGCTGAAAGAAATAGATGCAAATAGCCTGAAGAACAGATTAACAAAATGTAGTATACATCAATTGTCAAGTAGCTATAAGGTGATAGATGATAGCATAAAAAAAAGGAACTGAGACAACAAATTCAGACAACATTATAGGGGATTTCAACTCAGGTTTAGGGATAACTTCCTGAAGACACAAAGTGTTTTGTGGCAATTTATTTTGCAAAATAGGTTGCCCCAGAAAGTGGTGGATTTTCCTTACCTATAGGTTGTCCCTAGCAAGCATACCACAACAGTGGAATTCCTCTCTCAGCATCAAATTGGATCTGATTATTTTTTAAGACAGTTTCAATTCTATTATAGTATTCTGTCATACAGAAATTTAATACAGATTCTTAAGACATCTTTTTCGGATGGCATTCTAAGCAACAAGACAAGGATGGGAAAAAGTGACTTCCAGGTCTCCTTATTTTTTTGTGGTAAAAGTTGTGTATATAAACCTCACCTACACTAAAGCTACTTTTAGGACTACGCAACCTCCCAACTTTGTAAACTGTGAAGGGCTGTAACTACAAGAGGCACTGACAATCTGAAGCATACAATAAAATCCCATTTTGCAGAAACTGGGAGCTGCAGTAGATTCTCAAGCTTTTGCCATTGAACATCCCATAAAAGGATCTCCTTTTTCAACACAGAACGTATTGGGCATTTCAAGCTGTATGATGACTTGATTAAACATTATCAGGTAATGTCCCTTGTGTTTTGACTTTTCAAATGTTTAAACATAAAATTCCTAAAACGAACTGCATATTTTAAAAAAAGCAACACTTCCACTTACTTAAACCTGTAGCTTTCTCGTTTATTATTGACAAATCCATCTGCCAAATCATGCGGCACAATAATCTCTAAACCAAAAGTTGATGTTTCATCTTCATCCAGTGAATATATCTACAAAATACATATGAGGTCTCTCAAAATGATGAATGTATCGGTGAAATTCTTCCTACTTACTTTATTTTAAAATACATGACAAGTTATCCTTATGCCTTAAAAAGTAAGGTTTAAAGATATCTTCCAATAAGATTATTTCGATAATGGGAAAACATCTACAAGTAATGCCTACAATAAAAATTATGTCAAGAAGGGATTATGTTTGGATCACTATTGAAGTAATACAGAAATATACTGAAATGAGGAAAAATTCTTTGCAGGAAAAATGCATGTACTTTCATTTTTAATTTACAGTGCAATAAATGAGGTTTGGAATCTACTTTAGACATTTACTAGAACATTTAAATCACCTGTGCAACCCAGTCCTTTGGAACACAACTAAGATATATGGCCCACTAAATGAATAAGTATGAACAAAATTACAGTCAGCGCTCCACAAGTGCGGTTTTGACTTTTGTGGATTTGATTATTCACAGATTTGAATGATATGTTCTCTCTAGAAATCTCTAGGTCATTCAGTGTGATTCTGCTAGAAGTTGACAGTAGAGTTACACTGGAAGACCTAGAGCAGGGGTAGGCAACCTTTTTGAGCCAGGGGTCGGTTTGATGTCCCTCAGACAATTGGGGGGCCGAAGCACCATAAATAAATAA